TATGATTTGTCCCATCTTCTTACTCATACAAGTTCACCCAAGAGTTGTTGAGAAACACAACATCTGCATTTGTGACTTCTTTTCCTTTTGCTTCTGTAACTTGTGTAGCATCCATAAAAATGGACAATTGAGATTCTGAATCCTCAGGAGGTTGGGATATAGAGTTTAGAGGACTGTGTTAGACCAGACTCTACTCCATATGTTAAAGTTTCATGTCGACATCATGGTTAACATCCAAAAATGATTGTCCTCCCTCTTTTCATTATTATTAAAATTATGAACAATCTCATCTTTGACAGGTATCAAAGGATCTTTAGGAGGTTTTGAAAAAGGTTTTAGAACATATACTATTTTGGTTTTTGGAATCAGATGAGTTGTGGTTTTCCTCATAAGCTTACAATTTGCACGTCATGACCGGTTCTGTTGCAATGAGAGTAGAATTCAAGGATATTTTCATATTCAATATCAGAAAAGTGCAAATCCTTCATGTTCTACCAGAACATTGTAGTTGATTGGCCGAGTTAAATCCATATCAATCAAAACATGAACAAATTGAAAAAATGTTCTATCTACTATAGATTTAAAAGAAGTATTTATACAAATAGGCGTTCCAACTCAACTTGCAATGGCAAGAAGGATTTGAGCTCTCCAATACTCTTGAGAGAGCCTAAAGAAGCGGACTCAAACTTAAGCAGAAGTGTTTTGCTGTGAATAGGGAATGAAATCCTTTGTCCAAGCAAAAAGATTCAGCAAACCAAGGCTTAAGCTTATTGAACTCGAAGCTCTGACTCCTCTCATGTCCTCAACACTTGAGAAAGTGAACTCATAGTAACCTTTGCCAAGCGACAACACTCCCCAATTTTTCACTTCCCACAAAATCTCTGAAAGTTTCGCACAAAGCGCCACCACTATGATCGCATGCTTATCTTTACTTAGAGTATCATTGCGGTGATATTGTTCCTATTTCAATTTAAATAATACAGACACAACAAGACATTTAGTTTCAAACCACCAATTAAATATAATATTTCCAAAAATAAGAGTTCTTATAAGCAACTCTCAACAACTAAAACCAATTAAAGGTTTAAGCTCTAACAATGCATAATAATCAAAGAGCGTTCCTAACCCCAATGTTACAAAATTAGAGCAAAACTTCTAACAACTAAAGCTAAAGAATTAACTCCTAAAGCTAACTTTCACTTACTATAATAAACTCTACTTCTGAGTATCTGCAATATGTCCATGGTGGACAACATCAAAGCAAAGAGGGTGAGAATACATTCAAATAAGAAATGGTGCATAAACAATCAGAGTTACATCACAAATCATGCACATATCAATAATACATCACCAAACATGTCTTCAAAGTTCACCCACATCACAATATTATATATATTATGCAATACAACTTACAACAACATTGACTCATATGCATGTTGTACCGATCTCAACAATGATTCTTGTTATGAACCAGGTTTTACTAGGCAAACCTTGAGCCCTAACATCGAGCTCCAAGCCTCAACATCAAGCATGTGATAATTACCGGTCCTAATATCTGAACTTGTAATTGACTCTTTTACAACAACAATGACATATGATGCATGTATGAAAGTATGCATCACCATCACAACAACCCAACCAACAATCAACGTCATTACATCAACCATATAATTCCTGATCAACATCAATGGGATATATAGTTTCCGCACTAAAGCTATGAGCTTATACTCAAATATGTCATCAACATATGATAATCACATAGCCTGCAATCATGTTAGCACATTTAACAATTATCTCATCATTGTGAAAACTCAACAGCTCGTTACATAACTCATACACATTGTCACATGATTCACAATAGTAGACACATGATAACAACTCAACTACCCGACCATTGACAACTACTGCATAACTTAGCGCATTAACTTTCTAATGCTTCAAACAACCCATCATTTGGACTTATGAAACGAAAGTTACGACCAAAATCGTCGGGGAATACAACTTAGGTTAAAACAATAATTTTTCAAATTCTGCCTAGCATGCGTCGACCTCTAGGGAGTATGAGTCGACCTATGAGACTTATGCATCGACTATGCGGCGCATGTATCGACTTCAATTGCAGAATGTAGAATTTATACGTTTTTTTAATTGTTGGAGGCCTTCCAGATCTCCGATTTCGATTTCGTAAAAAGCTTCGGTTTCAGAATTCAAAATACAATAATCATAGAATAAGTCAACATACAATGATTAAAACAATACTTTTAGAATATATCACAAATTGACATCAATAAAATTATATAATTTCAAACCCTAAAACACTCAATCCTTCAACAACTTCAAGAACACAATATCACCACAACAATCCACCACCACTCATGGTAAAAACAATCAAATCAACGTACACAAATAGATTTATCATCATGTTCCTAAATAATCATCAATATATTCATAGATTAATAAACCTATTGAAGGTTAAGGGTAACATTTTTAATCTTTCATGATTTAAGCACCCTTATGAGAATAATCCCCTCCGCCTTACCTTAGATTTCATGAAAAAAATCAGCAAAAACAAAGTTAATTTGGTTTCTTCTCTCAAACCCTAACACTTCTTTTCAAGCTCTTCTCTCTAATTCTCTAACTTTTCACATTCTAATAGATTATTTCTAATTATTTCCTCATAATCACATCTTTGGCCCAACTAACCAAATCTTTATTGTTACTAACCTCACACTTATATTATTCTCATTCTCCACCCCATTCTCACTATTTCTACCATTCTATTATTTTAATTAATTAATTTAATCACTCACAAAATATAATTAATTAAATAATTTCACACACAATTAGATTAGATAAATAAATAAGCAAATAATTAAACAAAAGATTAATTAAGTCGGAGCGTTACACGACAGATTAATCCAATTCAACAAGTTAACTTAAAATAATAAATTAATATATTTCTGCATCCAATACAAGAATATATTTTAAATACAACATATATATTTTCGACTATTGTCGAACCAATTTAATCTTATCGAAATTAGAATTCGATCTAAAATATCATATATTTAATAAATAAAAATATTAATAAATAAAAAGTAATTAATATTTATAATACTACAATAATGGAATTTGAATTATGTCCTTTAATTTTTTCTCTTCGTTATCTTTTTCAACTTTTTCTCTTCAATTATCTCCTTCACACTTTTATTTCTATTTCTCTCTAATATATTCTCTCTTTTTTTCTTTATCAATTTTTTTTTAATTCTATTAATTCTATCACAATTGCTTTTGGTGAACCAGAGAAAATGAGAGAAGTAGAGGAACGATGGTCGTCCAATAATACTAATGGTGCATAAGAAGAAAAATGTAATAGAAAAAACAAAGAGAGCCTCCAAAATCTTTGATAAATTGATATATGAGTAGAAATGTTAGAATTCTTGAGATGTGGGCCTTAGAATTCAGAAATGACACGTGGAAACAGGCTGGCTTCAGTGTGATGCTGACATGGCAAGATGTGGGGGACTAGGTTACTAGGGAGAGATGGGGGAAAATCAATTGCAAATTGCAATGCACAAAATTCTTTTACTACACGGTATAAAAATTTATCAAAATTTGGATGTAAAAAATATTTATTATTTTTGTTATAATAATGTGTTAGTGGGGCAAAGGAAAGGGAAGTTAGAGAGCCTTTAAGACAAACCCATCTGGCCATCTAATCCAAGTTCATGTGCATTCATTTAATCAATGTAAACCATCCCAAAAGAAAAAGCACAATTCTTGTGGCTTACGAGAGAACCCTCACTTTTTCTCTCCCCATAAATATGCTCCTCGTGTTATTACCAACTTACCCTCACTTGATCTTTTAGTGATCAAAACAAAACAAACGTATAATAACTTGGCAGAATAAGGGTGCTCCTTTTTATCATCCAACTCCATTGCGAATTTATCTTTCTTCAATAATCAAACCAAAAAAAATGCAATTTTTTTTTGCTATCATGAGTTGGAAGAATAATGATTTAAAATGGAAACATGATATGATAATGGATTTATAAATAGCTTATGATTTTTATCGAATTATAGCAAGCTTGGCCAAATTATATGAATGGGCCTGTCTCATTCGTTGTTACTATTATTACAATTTGAAAAGTTACAAAATGAGAATAATCATTCAATACAAGAATAAAAATATTCGTTTAATTTAATGTCAATATGAATTGTTGATTGTTGATGGGTCATAATTTTGTAGATATAGCCACCTATGATCACGGTTAATTAACACAAAGTTAGAAATTTGCATGATTAATTTCATAGTAACTTATAATTAATTAAGCTCACATGTGGAGCCATTATTTCTCTCCTCTTAATTCACAATTCTATAAAGTCAATGATTAATTCGTTACGCTAAAGATTAGGTCAACGTAGGAAGGGTAAAATTGTAATTTTCGCAAGGTTTCTCTTAGCTTGAGATATGTTTTACCGGTGGTTGAAACTTGAAGCATGAAATTGGAGACCCGTGATTGGTAACCGGCTATATCAAGTTAGAATGAAAAACTCACCGGCTATATCAGGTAACGAATCATAAATATAATTAGGACCATAAGCTACCACCTAAGGCCACGTATAGGTGTGAGTGTGAGTGAGAGAAGAATCTAAAATTTTTTTTGCCAGCTAAGAATTTGAAGGATGAAAGCTTTTTCTCAGGGTCAAAGCTGTCAAATTTTCTCTCTCTATTATTATTATCACTCCTCGTAATTAAAATTTAAAAATAAAAAATACAATTTGCTTAAATTATTTTACACATGAAATCAAATACTGATATAAAACCCTCCACTCGTTCTTTCTTTCTATCTATTCCGGACGGAATTCTCTCTCAAGAACAAACTCCTCTGTTCTTGAGAAGTTCTCTCTTTTTTTCATTCTCATAAATTAAATTATGTTCTGGTTTTGATTAGGGAGAGAGTGAGAATTTCAAACTGTTCAAGATTTCAATCCTGAAAATGGCGGTCACTACTCACTCTCTAACCGCTACAGAAAAGAAACACTGGTGGCTCACAAACCGAAAGGTAATTTTATCATCTCTCTTGTTTAACTCCTTGATTCTATTCTAGTGTTAAAGATTTTTTAAAGTAATGTTTTATTTGTGGTTTCAGATTGTTGAGAAATACTTGAAAGATGCTCGGAACTTAATAGCGACGCAAGAACAGAGCGAGATTGTTTCGGCTTTGAATCTTCTGGATGCGGCTTTAGCTATATCTCCGCGTTTAGATCAGGCGCTTGAGTTGAAAGCGAGGTCGTTGCTTTATCTACGGCGGTTCAAGGATGTTGCTGATATGCTTCAAGAATATATTCCGAGTTTGAGAATGGCGAATGAAGATCCTTCCTCTGGTTCTTCTTCTGAGTCGTCTTCTTCGAGGGAAGGTGTGAAGCTTCTTTCGTCTGATTCGCCGGTGAGAGATCAGAGTTTTAAGTGTTTCTCTGTTTCTGATCTTAAGAAAAAGGTTATGGCTGGTTTGTGGAAAAGCTGTGATAAAGAAGGGCAATGGAGGTAATTTGTCTTGAAATTGGTTTTTGTTATTTGAAAAATTATTATTCTGTTTTGTTTCATTGTTTTTGCTTTGCAAATTTGAATAATATGTGAAATATGGGTATTTAATTAAGGACATTTATTTACTTATATCCTTGTATCTTTGTTTATATTAATGAGTTTGATTTGTGAGATCAGATCGAAATAATGTTGGTGTATTGATTTTTATTTATTTATTTTTATAAAATTTGATGTTTATTGTTTCTAATTATTTATTGTAGAACAAATTTGATGTTTATTGTTTATAATTATTAATTTTGATGATGAATGCAGATACTTGGTTTTGGGTGAAGCATGTTGCCATTTAGGATTAATGGAGGATGCAATGGTTCTTCTCCAAACTGGAAAACGGATTGCCAGTGCAGCATTCCGGCGAGAGAGTGTCTGCTGGTCGGACGACAGTTTTCCTCTGTTAACCATCCCGATTGCTGGAGATACGGCGAACCAACCGAGCACCTCACCGCCACGAGTTCCTATAAATGTAACTGAAAGAGTAACACATCTCCTCAGCCACATTAAGTTTCTCCTTCGCCGTCGTGCAGCAGCACTTGCTGCACTTGATGCCGGTCTTTATTCAGAAGCCATTCGTCATTTCTCGAAAATTGTTGATGGGCGGCGTGCTGCTCCACAAGGCTTCCTTGCGGAGTGTTACATGCATAGAGCCTCTGCAAACCGTTCTGCTGGTCGAATCGCTGAGTCCATTGCTGATTGTAACCGCACCCTTTCCTTAGACCCAACCTGCATTCAAGCCCTTGAAACCAGAGCTTCACTTTTCGAAACAATTCGTTGCTTACCTGATTCTCTACATGATTTAGAACATTTGAAACTTCTCTACAACTCCATCTTACGTGACCGGAAACTTCCCGGTCCGGCATGGAAGCGTCACAATGTGAGATACAGAGAGATTCCAGGGAAACTCTGTGCTTTAACCACCAAGATTAAAGAACTGAAACAAAGGTTAGCTTCTGGTGAAACAACTAGTGTTGATTACTATCCATTGATTGGGATTCGACGAGGCTGTTCGCGATCCGAATTGGAGAGAGCTCATTTGTTGCTTTGTCTTCGCCATAAGCCTGATAAAGCTACGAATTTCATCGAAAGGTGCGAATTTGCAGACGAACGGGACATTGATACAGTTAAAGAGAAAGCAAAGATGTGTTCATTGTTATTGTACAGATTGATTCAAAAGGGTTACACGAGTGTGATGAGTAATGTATTAGACGAAGAAGCCGCCGAAAAACAAAGAAAGAAAAACGCGGTTGCTGCAGCACAGGCACAGGCACAAGCACAAGCACAGGCACAGATAGCAGCCATTCAAAAGAAAACAAATGAAGCTGAGTTGAAAAACAACAAGCCAGAAGTTAAGATTGGTAATGTTTTAGTCGAAAACGATCAGTCTCAGTCTCTTATATCTTCCTGTACCGTAAACCCGGCGGTGTTTCAAGGTGTGTTTTGCCGCGACCTTGCAGTGGTCGGAAGCTTGTTGACGCAGGTGGGATTTAATCGTCCGATTCCTGTGAAGTATGAAGCATTGAGCTGCTAAGAAAGTTTTGATGAAAAAAATTGGTGGAAGAGGCGGTTGGAGATGTCACCGGCAGAGGGAATCTCTGGTTGATATTCACTTTATGATTGTACAAACAAAATGCAAAGGGTAAAAAAATTTAGACTGCCGGAAAATTTTGTCATCTTTTCCTTTTCCGTTATATATTTTATTAGTAATTTTCTTTTTCATCTATCAGATGTACAGAACAATTATCACTACTACTTGAGACTCTTCTTTTGGATTATTGGCCTTAATTCATCTTTAAATTTCGTATTAATCAAAATTAAAGTACTACTAAGTTTAAGATTATTACAACCTTTGTCTATAATTGATCATGACAATGTACGATCCTTTATATTGTCAGTGCCATTTTTGTGAAAGATGTTTCTCATTTATGTTTCTTGGAACATGACTTTTGAGGTTCTTTGAAAGTGGTGATGTTATAGTGGAGTGGAGGACCCAGTTTTGAAGTGATGAACAAGGTAAAAGGTTTGTCAGTTTTTGTTTTACTTCTCTCGACAGATATAGAAGAAAGTGAAAGTGATTAAAATTTAAAAGTGATTATTGCACGTTATTAGTACTTGTAAAACTAACTTTTAATTCCTTTTCACGTTAGTGTTATTGTCATTTTTAGTCGAAATAGAGTTATCTCTTTAATAATACAAAACATTGTTAAGGGTGAGAGGTAGAGTTTATTATCAGCAAAACAAAGGTGGATGAAAATGTGGTGTTGTAGTATTGGTACACTCTGTCATGCAAAGGACTTTTGAATCTTTATCATTTATATATTTTTTTATTGGCTGAAATGTGTTATGTGTGTCATAGTTTGGTTATTTATTTATTTAGGTTTCTTTGGTTTTTAATTTGCATATTTATCTTATATGGGAACTGGATTGTAGATAGATATAAGGGTCAGTTTGTTTTAAAAAATGTAGTTTTTTTTTTTAATTTTAAAATTTGTTTTTTATAAATTAAAAAATTAATTTTGACATTTTATAATATAAATATATATTATTAAATATCAAAATATAGTCTAAATTACAATTTTTTCAAAAAATTATATTTTTAAAATGATTTTTATCCTAAACTATTTGAAATAACTTTAAAATTAAGTAATTTTTTTTGAGATTTTAATATCAAAAAAAGTTTTGATAAAATAACAAATTATTTAAAATAATATTTTAAAAAAACTATTTAAATCAAATTTTTATTTGAAACTTTTATAAAAAAATTTCTTTATTAATTTTTTTTACACCAAAACATGTAATATTATAAAAAATATTTTTATAAAAAGTCAAGAGAAACGGCCTCGTCATTAAATTACAATTCATTTTGACAAAACTAGTGCTACTTCCTTAGGAATGTATGGTTTAAATTAAAAATAGATAAATTTTAAAAAATTTTTTTTGTAATTGTTGTATTAGTTTAAGAGGAAATTTTATATGAAACTTTTATATTTGTGAATGCAAGTCATCATTTTTTAGTATAAATTTTTATTTGGATATTTCTCTTATTCTATCTAATTTAAAAAATTATTTTTTCTATTTTAAATTTAAACAATTTTGATTCTTATTAAAAAGTCGTGAGAGAGTAATTAAACGTGTTTGAATTAAAAATAGAAACAGAATTTTTTTTTTAAATTTAAAATAAAAAAACTAATTCAAAAATGAGAGAAAATTAGGAATCAAAATTGTAATTTAACTAATATTTTTTAATTGGTCAAGTGGCCATCTTATTGGAAGAGAAATCTTTGAATCTTGTTAGCCAGATAAGTTGTCTTCACCTACAAATCTAACACCGATGACCAAATTATATGTAACATATTGAATTAATAAAATAAAATAAAATAAAAATATATTTTGCTTATATTTCATTCAAGAGTAAATATTTTACATTAAATTTTGTTGAGTATAAACAAATATATTTTAATGAAATTAAAATTCATTGTTTATAAAAGGAATTTTTATGGAGAGTGCTTTACCTATTGAATCAATCAAGTATATTTTCCTCAAAAATTTATATTTTTGTTTATGAAGGGGGTAGGTTGAAATAAATGAAGGTTTGAAGATTGAAAGCATAGTATAATAATGGTGAATGATTTGAGGCGTGGCTTGTGACACAATAAAACAGTCTGTATTTTGTGTTTTCATGTAAAAGATGCATTATTGCACTTGGTTGTCCCTTTTGGATCACACAACTGTTTTCCATAAAGTTTTTAATACACAAATTTGAATCCATATTTTCAATGTAAGTTAAACGTGAGAGATTTTTAAGACTCCTTAACCAGCAAATGACATGACATTCACAGGTCAAAATCCTTCTGTCTAACAACAAAAAAACAAACTACATGCATTCACAGTGGAGAGAGAGAGAGAGTGTTCAATGTTCTTATGATCCTTACTTACCCAATAGGCTAATAGATGAGAAATTATCTTCCTTTCCTTGCTTGCAAGTGATTCGATACCTTTTATTCTTTGCCAAGAATAAGCAAAATAAAAAAAGATATAACATCCCTTTTCCTTCAAGAGCACCACTTTATTTTTCCACCTTCCTCCATCATTATGTTGGCATATTTTTCACCTTCCATAGACTCTTAGAATATTAATGTAGAGAATATAGGAGGAAAAGAAAGTGAAAAATGGAATATTTTTGTGACAAGAAAGAAGGGGAGAGATAAAAAGGAAAAGAATATAAAAAGTAATGTAAAAATAATTAATGTGGAAAATAATTGATTAACATTATAGCATATGTTGTGAATATTCTCATGTCTTCTCTTCCTTTGATTTCAAATAAATGGTAGCAATAAAGTTGTTATGCACTTCTTTGCCACTAGCATTTAAGCACTATTGCAAACTGAAAACAGAACACATGTTACAATAACTTTCCATCTTCCTTGTTAGCTACTCGCACTTAAGTGCTTCCCTACCAACTTAAAATCTACATGTTTGGTTGAAATTCATTTTTAATGCTTCACAAGCCTACATGTACAGCTAGTTCTGATCAAACTGAAACTGGTTTCAAGTTTTGAATGCTCTGAACAAATTTCCTTATATCATAGTAAAATTGAAAATAAGAGTTGATTATTATTACTAGCAATTAATATAATTGGTCGAAAAGAGAAAAGCATATTTATTTTTTATATTATAAAGTACATTATTTCAGCCCAAAAAATAAATAAGGTCATTGGAAAAATTAGTGTTGTTGAACTACTCTTCTGACAGAATATTATTTTATTCTTTACATTAAGCTTTTATATTCATATTGACAGCATAATTTAATTCCTTGGTGCGAAAGTTAAGGTGCATCTCACGAGGGCCATATATTACTTTAATGAATATAAGTACTTTTTTTTTTGTTGTAGAATAAATATAAGTACTTTATTCTGTATAGTCAGATATTTCATGGCATTTGTGCAACAATTTTTCTGTGTGTTAGTTTTACATTTGATAAATCCATTGGCTAGGTAGTATAGGAGCTCAAGGTTCATATATTCTAATAGGTTAATCTCAATATTCACATTGTTTCATGCTAGAAAAAAATTAATTTTGAGTTAATTATTATTATATAAAATGGATTATGAATAAAAGTGAAATGAAGGTAAATTAATTTATGTTTTAATAAATTTTTGTAAAACATGAGTTTTATAAGAAATTTTAATGTGAAAATCACGTTTATTAACTATAAAACTATAATTCTTGATCAATTAAGCATAATTAAATATATCAAAATTAATTATACACTTCTAAAATAAATTATAAATACTACAACATGAAATCAAACACATTTTTATTTATGAATATACACAATCTTACCTATCATTTTAGAATTGCGCAATTCAAATCTCTTATAGCACGCTGCTTTAATAGCAAAAAGAGAAAAAAAAAATCTAATTATTAAAATATATTTGTATCGTTGGGATAATTAGAATTGATCATAATTGTGTGAAATTTATTTTGATATATTTTGTTGATTTTCAATAGAATTAATTTAGTTTATAATTGATTTTATTTGAATTTTTTTTGATAGAGTTAAAATGTGATTTTTATATTAAATTTATTGTTTAAATTATTGAAATTTATTATTCAAATCATTTTTGAGAGAATTTATCTAAGCATAAACAATTTTAATTCGACTCAACTTTAATAAAAAAACAATTTACTCTAGATCAATTTTTCACAACATAACCAAATACAAACTTTAAACAAAAATAACTTTTTATTTTTAAAGAATTGAAATAAAAATATAATATATTTGCATAAAATAAAAGCATACATTTAAGTATGAACTAAGAAATAAAGGTGTTACTGTACTAAATATTATAAATTGATGTTAGAATGTAGGGAACATGAAATAGCTAATTATAAAATAAGGACTACCATGTGCCTTTATCATGTGCCCTTTAGCCATTCAAACCAATGATGAATTTCTTGAGCTGCCCTTATTTTTTAAGACTAAGTTCTTGTAAAAATTTGGTGGCACAATGTGCTGAATCAATTATCTGACAAATTTTCTTGCATTATGAATATTTATATTATTTATTTCTTTAGCAAAGGAATATTGCATATAGAACAAAAGAAAAGATACAAAAAGAATGTGTTTGGGATATGGGGAGTTGAGTTTCATTATGAGCTGGAAAAGATGTAAGGTTTCATTGAGATCTGAGTTTGCAGTGACCAATTTTCCTTTACAACTCATCTACATTTTTTTTATGTCACTATATGTATGCTAGTCTAAAATGTCTATAATCTAAAAAGAATGAACTTTTGAAAACATTTATTTCTCATTCAAGGACTTAACTTTTGAAGCTATACTAGTGAATGAGACTTGTTTTTGTATAGGAATTTGTAGAATATACTTAATTCATGGTTAATAGTGCATAGGCATTGTAATTGTAGGATTTATAGTGTCTAAGGAAAGGAGTATGGGCACATAGTGGTGGAATGGGAAGGAGAGTAAGTAAATGAATTATGTTTTTCTTAAATTTTGTATCTCCACTTTTG